ATATATATATGTGAGAAATATTTACATCCAGACACAGAGTTAGGTAAAAACAGTGCGTATATTCTCCAGAATATGACACATATATCAGCACTAACAGAAAATACACAAAACCCCAAATATCAAATTGCACACAAATTTTTATTGCTTTTAATTTGATTTGCTTTAAATTTTTATTGTTATTGCTTACTCACTATGCTTCGAGTATTTCTTCCTAATTCACTACTATGTTACAACAAATACCCGTGCACGGTAACTTTTGCTTGGCCAGCACCGATTAAACAACAAATATTAACTCCCTGTGAGTGAGGAGTGCAATAAAATTATATCCTCTTTCTACACAGACTCTTAGATTTTAAGCAGAACACGTTATTGAATGGCTTACTTACTACAATTATTTACAGTTAAATTTTCCTCGTCATGATTATACAAGATTGAGGAACAAAGATTAACACAGCTTTTCTCGTAACATTTATCATTAGAATGAACTGTATTACCGGCATACAATTTTTTTTCAATTGCTTTGCCGTTATCTAGATTTTACGTGAATATGCACATTTACAATCAAAGCCTATCTGCTGCTACGCTAACGTTCAAGTCACTGTCGACTCCTAATCGTTTTACAAAATTTCTGTTGCCTTGACGGGCGCTCAATGCTCAGATTGCAAACCGTTTGACATTGCTGTCGTTGGATCTTGGCCCACTTCCGGCTGCACGGTAGCTTCGCTTCCTTGCAGACCACTGTCGTCTGCGATGTCGCTCGAAACACCGCCTTCTTTCTGCCCTGCCACCAGATCCACGTCCAATCTTCTTTCGTCTCGCTTTTTGATCACGCGTGGCACTTGAATCCTCACCTCTGCTTCTTTCTCCGCCCCTCTTCCTATGCGGCACGCCGACGCGTTTTTCACATTCCTCACGCATGTTTGCTAACGGCGTATCGGTTTTCTGGCATTCTTTAAACCCTTTTTAATCGTTAAATATTTGCACAGTTCTACTGATGCCTCTCAACAGCTCACAGTTCTTGCTTTCGCGGCCCCTATTCCCCCTCGTTTTACTTAATCCACAACTTTCCACTGTCTTTATGCAATATTACACTTCACAGTTCAGAAGGCTGAATCTTCCGCTATTCTCCTATTCTTTCGCCTGAACAAACACTTCGCTCCGTACATTCAACAAAATTGCGCCTCACAATCCTCACATCTAGCTCTCTACGTAGGTCCCAACTCTTCGACGTCTCTCATCCAAACGCCGCTCCCTCTAATTACTACATCTCTGGCTGACCGCACAGGACTTCTCACATCGGCGTCTCGTACAAAAGAAGGTCGATCACTCAGCTGCTCCGCTGTTTATAGGTAGCGTGACGTCACGACTAACCCTTCTGTGTTTTTCCGTGAGCTGGAAGTTCGCCGCCGTCACGCCGCGGGCAGCAAATAACAGATAGCGCTGTTTCGTTAGAAATGTATTATTCGACAGTATCAGAGATCTGGCGGTTCATCCTAGTACTCTACTTCCACGCGTGTGCGAGGTAGGTTACTAGCAGGCTCGGATCCAGGGGAAGTGAGGGACCCCCCCCCCCGAAAAAAATGCCGTAACTAATAATTACAAATTCCGCGATCTCTTTAGATCGGTTAAAGACCGCAGGGTCGCAATAATGATTGCAGGCGCCTACAGAATACACTGTTCTTGTAGCTCTGTGTACATAGCCACAACATAGCGTTCGTAACACTTGGCTCACCTAACACAAAAGGAATTGCCGCTTGGGATACACAGAGAGCGGTGGCTGAACATGTCCTCTCGGCAAGAGAACACGACATCCTGTTGGCAGACACTGAAATACTGTCTACCACCAACCAATACCACATCAGATTACAATGGGAACTATTGAGATTTTAAACATCCCAAGAACTTCAACGGGAAAGAAGAAGGGCTGAAAATTAATTCTATTTGGTATCCAGTACTCGGCAACACTAGTAGAAAACCATATAAGGACAGACTTGCTCAATCCCGCCACAGCACAATCGACAGCCATCTAGAATCCAGCCTGCTAACCATCAACCAATCGCAAGCTAGCGCGCAAAATCTCCACCGCCGCGCCCCTTCCGCCAACCATATGAGCCGCGGAGGGCGAGGTCAGTCGCCAGCCAGCCGCCGCCCCGAATACTGCGCCCGGACCCTGCCGCCGCTGAAGATGTCCACCGGCCCATTAATGTCAACTAGAGCAAGTCCTACCAGCCCGGAAACTTATTTGAAATTCTATTATATTGACTCCGGCCGTGAAAGCCTACGATGATATTAAAAGAAAAAGTCTGATTCTGAATAAGTATTAGAATTTAAAATAAAAACAGCATTCTGAGAACTGAAATATAAAAGTGATTTCAGTATAATTTAGTTCTTTAAAAATGCTGAAGAGTATTCCAATTCTGTATGCCTTCATGCTGTTACATAAACAAAAATGAACATTTATTTATTGAACGCCAAGGACACGAGCTGTTCGGGTCACGTAAGCCACTGGGGGCGCAGTGCAAGCGGCTGCTTGTGGCGCGACTGGCTGGCATCTTGACAACTGCGCAGCTAACAGGAATGGACTGCAATCATCAATAAAAGACTTGGGCACTCCCTGTGTAGGTGGTTTTGCGCATGATTTCGTGAACGAGCCGCACTTCAGCACGAATGACACGTGACCCGATCTCATATAACTTCATGGCCACCTCTTTAGCATTCGACTTCTTGTCAACACGTCCGACATGACACCTACCACAGACGGCGCCACGTCAGATGAGCGCTGCAGTATCAGGGGTACGATGGAAGAGGGGGTTATCATACTACAACTTTTCTTAGTGCCTTCCGCCCTAATTATATGGCCAAGGTTATTGTGTCTCTCAATTAAATGCAAAGCGAGGGCTCCCTCATCTTGGTTGTAATAGCCCACTCCTCTCATTACCGAGCAGTCCAGCTTCCAATCAATTAGACAACGCCCAGATCCGTGGCAATGCCTTGGAGAGAGGCTGACTGCAAGGGCCCCTAGACGAGAGCACACGCCATATTACATTCATTGGTGTACACCATTGCGTTGTTGTGTTGTCCCTGTAGCACTATATAGTTCCAAAGCTAATTACCTCGTTTGCTTCATACACGATGGTTCAAATGAAGTTTGTTAGCTCCTTCGTTTTGTGTTCCCATGTATTATTTCAATTTTAGAAACAGTTGATTAATCTGTATCAAACATTTTCTTTTTCAGCACCTCCAACATGCGGTAGCCCTGATAAACTTCTCAACACCACATTCATAGGTTCAAATTATAGCATTGGTTCAGTGATAACGTATAAGTGCCCAGTAGGGCACACACTAGTTGGAAATAACTTCAGGACATGTGACAAGAATGGATTTTGGACTGGTGGTGCTCCATCGTGCAAATGTAAGTTAATACTTAAATTTCTGCGAAGAACTTTCAAAAAATATTAAATGGTTATAACATTAGATACCTTGAATAAGTGCACAACCTTATGGAGCTCATTCGTGATAGGGCAAGATACAAAATCTCTGGTGCGGATCCAGAAAATTTTCCAGAGAGTGGTGTCAATTTCAGTTCGGACACCCGTAAATATTTTTGAAATATATTTTCATTGTAAGCTTGTAATGCTTAACTATATTATGTAATGTAACTACTATATTAACTAAGAATACCGGTGGAGGCTATGTGCCACTACAATACACAGTATGTGGCCAAATTATTAGAGACAGTACTAAGATTTTTGTGTTTTATAGTATAACTGAATTAAAAAGTAAATTATTTGGTCTCAGAGGTATTTTTTATTCTTAAGAGTGATTTAGTGAAATTATAAAAACAATAACATATTTAGGTACAACTATTTTTGAATAAAATTAATACCAGTATTTAGTGACGCCAACCCTTGATGCTATTGTAGCTTCAATGCGTCGCGGCACGACCTCCATACGGGATTTTGCATTTTGCTGTTGTTCAATGTTGTGAGGCCATTCTTTGTCAGTAATTTCAATTAACTGACTCTTGGTGGTAATCACTTGATTGGCGATCGGCCCTTTGGTGAGTTCCAGCATGTCTCTATAGAGTTTAAGTTTGGTGATTTCCTCGGCCATGCCAAAACATAGTATTATTTTTCTGCCAAGGATGCAGTAATTATCCTAGCTTCTTGGCACGGAGCTGATGGTGCATAAAAGTGTTTTCTCAATCACCGAGGCCTAGTCACCAGGCTTAATCACCACTCCTCGAGCTTCGAGCTGTGACATAAGCAGAGTTTCTAGACCTCGCTTGTACTGGTCTTGCCTCATGGTCCCTTATACCATCTATAGTCGCTATGAAAACAGATCATATAACGACACTAACCAGGACTATAACCCTCTCCATTAGGAAGTCTGAATTGAACTGAACCCCAGGGAGTCGTCAGACAAATTAACTTTAGTCGACCAAAATCTGAAACGTTGATTCGTTAGAGAAGCATGCCTGTAAAGTGCTACAAAAACATCATATAAGAAATGCACTAGTGCTTTAAATACACGAAAAGGTTGTGTTACTAGACTCCAGTCTGCTCCAGTCGCTTCTTCTTCGTGGCCTGGGTGAGGAGAGGTTTTCTGAAGGGCGACGGCCGATCAGGCTCTTGAGCTAACCGTCTGCGGACTGTCCTTTTGGGAACTGTTACTCCCTCAGAGGAACAACGCTCTCTTTACGATTTTTGAGGCAGATATTCCTGCTTAGTACGAAGAATGGTTATCTTCCTGTCTCATTTACCCACGCGGCTGCTTCCAGCATTTTTTCGGATCAATTTTTATTCTGTTAACGACAATTCTCGAAACACCTGCCAAAGTTGCTATATCTCTCTGTCAATGTGTGGAATGAAATAATAGTCTATGTATTTCTCTAATTTTTCATGGAAAAGTGTCTGAAATCTTACCTTACTTAAAAATTTTAATTTTGAGGTGGTTACGTTACATTGTAAACTAAAATGAAATTCCTCATAAAATTTAGTAAAAGTGATGCAGTAAGAAAGACTACTTAAGTTTTAATCATTTTTGAAAGGAAAAACTTGCAAAAGACGAGTAAAAAATTATTTGAATGTCTTCATCGCAGTTTTCAATAAACTTCAACTGAATGAAAGTAATATCACTTATTTTTTCTATAACGCAGGCATCTAGTGTTCTCACTTATTATAAACACTAGTAATGATAACTGTAATACTATAATCCTATCGGAACCAAATCCTTTGCTCAAAAGAATATTTAAACTTGAAATTACACAAATTTTAGTACTGTCCCTAGTAATTTGGCCACCTACTGTAATATGTATTTTCCATTTTGCGTTTGGAATGTATTGCGATTGGAATATAATTTTTAAAAATTCAACTACACTGTCTGTAACAAGTAATGTACTTCATATTCTAGATAAATGGCCGCAATTAGATTTTTGACCAGTTTTCCTGATCCACAGAGCAAATGGCGAGATGGATCCTTGTTTTGCTTCTGGACATAAATGTAGTTTCACTATGCACCCATTTTGTTGAGCTCTCCTTTTACTAGCCGTGTTAGGAGTAGAGTCGGGGATATGGATTACTGTTATGTTATAAATGCAAAAAAATCTGTAATTCATTTGTCAATGCAAATTAGTTTTATGTAACTAAGGAGTGAAAAGGTCTAGTGTTCACACATGGCTAAACTCGCATTGTAAGTATTTTTGTTCTTTTTCTTCTATTAAGGTTAACACCTGTTTTTCTTCACACTCCGCCATCAGGATGATTCAGGAGATGTGGAAATCCAACTCTGGATCCATCTCTTCTTCGGTCTGCCTGGGACGCGTTTTCCTACAGATTTTGAATCTTTCGCAATCTTGATGAGTCTTTTGCTGTCCGACCTGGTGACGTGCTCATTCCGTTCTCTTCTTCTTGTTCTTGTCAATTTTACTACATCTGTAAAGTAACACTCATTTCTTGTATCTTGATTTTTCAATCTATCCCATTTTTTTTACACCCAATATTGATATTAATGTTCTCATCTCTCGTTCTAAGTAGAGTCTTAGTTCTTCTATTATCGGCCCTTGTTTTTGCTCCATATGTTATTACTGGTCTTACCATAATTTTGTAAAGTTTTACTTTGCTTTCTACATTAAGATATTTGTTTCTCCATGTCTCATCTTTCAAGTACCCAGATATTCTGGTTCCTTTAATTACTTACTGTTTAATTTAATTATACGTATTCCATGTGCTTGAAATTTCCACTCCTAAATATTCTCATTTTGCTTATAATGGTAAGAGTGGAAGTAAGGGCGAGTTGCTATTTTGTCAGCAATGCAGAAAAATCATGCTTGCAATTCGTGTACCGATGCAAATAAGTTTTCTATAGCTCAGAAACGAAAATGACTATTTTTCATATATTGCTAATCTTGCGAATTTTAAAATTTATTTTTATTTATTTATGTTAAACTTTTACTCATCTTTCAATTATTTATAGTTAAAATGACGGGAAGGAATTCTGAAACTCAAGAAAAAGTGCGCAGATAATCTTTTCCCCCCTACGTCACATACATTTTTTACTGTTTTTTGGACTGAATAAATCTAAAATCTAAATCTAAAATCTAAATCTAAAATCTAAATCTAAAATCTAAATCTAAAATCTAAATCTAAAATATAAATAAGTGAATTTCATTACTTGCTCTATTACTGTATTCTGTATCATCAGCTTACACCATATAGGCTCTTTTGAAATCACCATTGATTTTGTTTTTCAGTTAAGATGATCATATAATATTCTGCACTTTTCGAAAATTTTTGGAAGGGTCTTTGCAAGTTGTCTTCTGAATCTGCCAATAACACTGCATCATCCGCATAACACAATATAGATATTCTCTCACTGCATATATACTGTATTCTATATACTGACATTTCTTTTACACTGTAAATAAGCTTCTCCGTAATTAAATTAAAAAGTATGGACTTAGAGAATACCCTTGTATAATGCCAGATGCACGTATAATTTCATCTGTTACCATATTTCTAATTTGCACTTTTGTGACAGTGTTTGTATTCATATCCTCTATTAAATTTATTAATGCCTTTGCTATGTTCTCTTTCAAGATTGTTATTATATCTTGTAGTCTTACACGATCGAATGTCTTCTTTTGATCTACAAAACATAAAAAGTCTGGATTGATAAATTCAATCGCCTTTTCGACTACTTGACGAATCACAAATATGGCGTCTGTTGTTGGTCAATTTAAACGAAATCCTTGTTGTTAATTTATCTGTATAAATGACCTTACCTTCTGTAGTACTTATCATTTTTGCGAGTACTTTTTGTGTTTTGTGTATTTAATAGAATGATGCCTTTATAATTTTTTGGATTATTCTTGTTTTCTTTTTTGAATATGGGTAAGGTTCTAATGGTATTCTTTCTTCTTTGAATATAATATTGATCTACTAAATTCTTTCCGTGATATTTTAATATCTCATTACGTATGCCATCACTACTAGGTGCTTTTCAGTTCATCAAGGTGTTTAGCATCTCTTGCATTTCTGACATAAGTTCTAAATTATCTAAATTGAAGTCACCTATCTCTCGGTTATATTGTGTATTCGAATATAAGTTTGCAAAATATTTTTCCGTGCTTCCTTCTCTATATTATTACTACTCTTCATGGTTTCAGTTATTTTAGGTTTTCTGTTTCTCAAAAATCCCCACATCTTTCTTTGTGATCCATGAAGGTCCCTTTCAAAATCCTTCGTCAATTTCTCCCAGTATGTTTCTTTCAACTTCCTTATTTTCATATGAGCAATATTTTGTCTTGTTTATAACGTATGTTTTCTTCTGCAATTTGGGAAGATTTGTATTGTAATAAGATTCCTCTTTCTTGTTCACTATTTCCTTTACTTCTTCAGTGAAACATGGTGTTTTACATTTACGTTATGGGTCACATTTAACTTTTCTTTTACCTAAGGATTCTTCAGCAGCTATTATAATATTACCTTTTAATTTATTACATACATTTTCCACTTTTCTTCCTCCTTTATAGATGCATTATCGATTAGATTATTGAGTCTAACGACGTACAATTGTTTTGTACCTTCATTTTCCAGAGACCGCTACGGCACTACAGCCTTAGCGATCTCGGCCATCTGATCGGCAATTTTATAATAATAATAATAATAATAATAATAATAATAATAATAATAATAATAATAATAATAATAATAGCATTAGCATTGAATCCTAGCATATAATATCATATTATAGCATCCTAACCCTTTGAGTAGGGTGCTGAATGCCTCCGGCTATGAATATTCTTTGAAGAACCCCAATAAGATCATTTCCCTCCAATTATACAAGGATGATATCGAACTCTATCCTAAAGGGCCAGAACAACTTCGCAGCATGCTGACACTTGTTGAAAGCTTCAGAAGCTCTGTTTGTATGGATCTTGGTTTGGAGAAGTGTGCATTTGTTCACTTGAAGAGAGGTCACATCTAGAATACAGAGAATGAACCTCATTGGATGAAATATTTGAGAATTCAAGAACTCTTCAATAGTGATGAATATAAGTAGATGGGTCTCTAGCAGCTCCTAGGAATTTCAGATGAGACAAAAAAACAAGTGGAAAGAAGGGTTCTTTCTCATGATATGAAAATCTACAAGCCCTGTATTAATTTGAGAAACAAATTTACAGCAATTAACACCTGGGAACTCTTAGCAGTATCACATTTATTTGGGGTTGTCAAGTGGTCTGAGATATCATTGCAAGCTTTCGATAGAAAAGTTAGAACACTTCTATCCAAATATCGGATGCATCATTCACGAAATTCTACTGAATGACTTTATCTTTCAAGATACCATGGAGGACGTGGAGTGTTAAGTTTTTTAATTTATGTGCCGCCAGCAAGAAAACAGCTCAGCAATTATTTCATCAACAATGAATCCATGACAGCCATCAATGCACAAGATCATAGCTATACACCTCTTAAGATGCTCCAGGAAGACCACAATCCACGTTTTCCGAAATATGAGGGCCGAATTCAGCAGAGGAGATCAAAGGAACTCCATGGCAGATTTGCTACAGCGCCTCGAAGTAACTCAATCGCCATGATGAGATCGACTGAATGGTTGAGAACCGCTGGACGTTTTGGCGAGACGGAAGGATTTGTGCTGGCCATTCAAGATCAGGTAGAAACCACTAACGACTATAGGCGATATCTGTGACATGTGTCGCCTGTGTAAGAAAGCCACCGAATCTATTTAACACATCTGCAGTGGATGTTCTCAGTTGGCACAAGCAGATTATATATGTAATAATAATGTGGCCAAAATCATCTACCAAGCACTTGCCAAAAGATCGAACCTGATTGAGGAAAGCTTACAAATATCTACCAGAGAAAGTTTTGTCTAATGAGAAAACAGAAATATTGTGAGATACTGTCATTTTACAGATAAAAGAATGGAAGCAAGTAAGCATGATATTGTCGTGTTTGACAAAGCTACTCACAGGTCAATAATAATAGATATCGCAGTCCCATCAGATCATAATCTGCTGTCAACAATTGCAGAAAAGAAAAGAAAATACCAGCCACTTTCAATTGAACTGAAAAACCTATACAATTTGCCAACCACCAATATCTTTCGTAAAGGTCATTGAAGACCTGTGTGCACTGGAGCGAGAACTTCTCACCATCTGTCACACCATATGTGTTGACGTTGTCCATGAGTTATAATCTGGAAACTCCGGACGAGCGTAAAAATTTGAAAAGCGATATAATAATAATAATAATAATAATAATAATAATAATAATAATAATAATAATAATAATAATAATAATAATAATGGGGTGGTATGCCTGGTCTGTGATGTTAGAACGCGCTCCGCGCTTGTTCCTGAGTTTATACGGATCCTGGCGGCTAAACATCGCTGTTGGAACGACATGTATGTAACTTTAATGCATTACGAGCTAGTGATTTCATTTCATTTCCGTTCTTTGAGTGTTACTTGTAGTATTTTTCTTTTCATTTCCTTCTGATTTACTTGAACTGTTTTCTTTTCCTGTTCGGTATGTACCCAGGTTTGTGCTCCATACAGCATCGTTGGTAGTATACAGCGGCCTAATATGTCTCTTTTTATTTTTATCGTTTGTGATTTATCCAACAGTATAAAACTCAACCCCCAAAATGTTTTTCAAGCTTGTGATATTGTTATGTTTATTTCTTTCTGATGGCTATTGTGGGATGATACCGTTCCACCTAAGTGTATGTATTTCTGGGTATAGTTGATATGTTATGTTCCTAGCTTGATTTGAGTTTCTTCGCTGTTTGTCATAATATTTGTTTTGCTTAAATTCATTTGGAAACCTACCTTATTGCATTGTACTTTTAGTTCTTGCACCATGATTTCTAATTCTTTAGCTGATTGTGAAAACAGTATTATATCATCTGCGAATCTTAAAAATGTCTGTCCGTTCAAAAGTATTCCTTTATTTTTTCCAATCCAGTTGTCGACATATCTCCTCTAGAAGGCATGTAAATTATTTCGGCGACAATGGATCTACTTAGTTTTACACCTCTAAGCAGTTGAAATGGAGCGCCTTCTTTATCAGTTCTGATTTTTGCGTGACTATCTGAATAAAGTCTTGCCAAAATGCGGATATATTTTCTTTCTAATCCTTGTTTCAGCAATGCTTGGAGGATGCAAAGGTGTTTGACGCAAAGACAAAGTCCACAAAAGCTACATACTGTTTTAAATTGAATTATTCCAATTTTCAAAGATTTGACAAACTGCTTGAAGGTGGTCGACAGTAGAATAGCCTGATCTGAAGCGTGCTTGTTCTGGCGGTTGATTTCCATCCAAAGAGTGAGATAGCCATCTATTAATATTTTTTTAATAGTGTAACGTATTAGCCAGCGTGCCTCATGGCATCTATTTGGGGACGCTTGGTTGCGGATTAGTCTCGCCACAGGAAGAAGGGTTTTTCCGTAAAGGGAAGAACGCGGAGACGGGAGACACAAGGCTTTGGGTGTCTTCCGGCTTATAGAAGCTTTTCACTGTTATAACAAGCGAGGGGGTGGCGTGACGTAGGAGGTCACGTGGGCCTCGCCTATATAACAGAGTGTACGGAGCCAGTAGGCAGGTTCTGGAGACAGTGGGAGAACCTCGTGCGTGTGCACAAAACTTGGCGCCACGACGGTGCATATGCGAGCCAGGCTCGCGAGGCTGGAGTCATTAGTTGACGAAGCCTGCGGTCTTTATGTCCTTGGGTGACTGCGGTCACGGGGGAGCGATGCTGTGTGCGTGCTCCGAGGTGAAGAGTGGTTGAGTGCCACGATTCACGCCGATTCTCAATCGGATAAGATCGCTCCTGCGATCGAGGCAAACCAGCCGTTGGTGCGCCAAAACGGACTTTGTGTCCCAGCGTGACATCCGGTCACGGAAGCTAGGCTTTGTGCGCGCTTCAAAAGTAGGAGTGGCGAATGCCACAATCAAAACCATCTTCAATCGGGTTTTGGATCGCTCCCGCGATCAGGGGATAGTAGGTCTATCAGAGCTAGGGTGTAAGTAGATTATTAAGTGTATATATTTGTTTTGTTTTCTTGTTAATAAATATATTGTTATACGAAAGCTCTGTGTCTGTGGTCGCTGTGAGTATCCATGACGTCACAATAGGTTGCAGATATTGGATGACAAGGAGATTGGACGATAATTATTTCGATTGTCCTTGGAGCCCTTTTTGTGTAATTCGTATTACTTGATGTATATTATTTTCAATTATTTCACAAACCATTGTGTAACAATATTTACGTAACAGCCAATGCCCTGAGTACTTATAATACAACGAATATTTGTATTTAAAAGGCAAAGAAAACTGATATGTTTTCTTTATAGAGAGCTTAGTGCCTGGTTTCGGCCGGGAACGTACATTTCTAGCTTTGAAGCTTGGTGATAATTGCAACTGTTTAACCGCCGAAACATTATTGTTGTTATTTTGAGGTCGCGTAAATATATTTATTTTATTGTAATGTGTGGTATATTATGTACTAGGGGAAAGATTGTGATTCAGTACTATTTTTTTATTAGATATTGACTGTGGACCGCTGAACGAGATAAGTCATGGCATAGTTCGAATAGAAGACAATCGAACAACATTTGGAGCAGGTGTTTCGTACACATGTCATGAAAATTATACTCTAGTTGGCCATGAGAAGAGAACATGCGAGGAAAATGGATTGTGGAGTGGAGAGGAGCCGCAGTGTCTTTGTAAGTATTCATATTTCTATTAACTCATGTAATCAGTAGGGTCCGGATTTAGTATTTGCACTAATAATCTATGAAATACGCAGTAATTTACGCAATATTTACGCAGTAAAAACTTGGAAAATATGTTATAAAATATACCTTATAAAGCATATTAACATTTTTTCTCGCAATTGTTTCGCACAGTTCATTCATACACAACTTTACCCTTACTATTCCGCTGAATGAAATTTTGAAGAGTATTATCTCCAAAATCTCCACAATGGAATGTGTGCCGCTTAATATAATAACAATTAGGATCAGAACCAAGTTTGACTCAATTCCGTGAATCCGTTAGCAGCTAACTTCATACTTTGAAAATGGAAGTTTCTTCCTTTTTCGCAACTTGTTTTGCTTGCATTTGTAGCGGATGCCCCCCTTTGTAATTTGTGGGAGTTCATGTCACGTGTGTTAGTTTATCATCAGGACCAATTTTCCTCACGGACTCGACGGCATGTAATACTCGAAACAATTGTTATTTTCCTGAAAAATATAATGGCTAATTCACATACAGCGTTTCAGGAAATCGATAATAGTTACAACGAACTACATAAATAGAAACACAAATAACAAAATTAAATTTATTAAAATGAAGGTTTTAGTTAATAAATATTAGTAATGATAAATTTCTTAATAAAATATGCAGAATAATGAGCAATTTGCAGAAACATAACTGGGAAAACTTGCAAAATATCTATTATGTGCTTCACAAAACTATGTTTAAATAATTGAAAATTGAGCGTTTCAAAGGTATACCAATTGGGTATTCTTTCTTACACAAGAAAAAAATATACATTCGCAATAAATCCGGCCCTAGTAATTTGGCAAGCCTTAATAAAGTAAATATTGTGTAATATAAATGTTGTGATTTGTTAAATTGTATCATATTACCTTTTTGTTGAGTGCGTTTCCTGTTAAATAGTTTGGTGAATCAGGGTTATCAGTACGACTCCCATTCATTGTAGCGCTGTTACCCGTTCTCGCATCAGTAAACGAAAACGAGTGACAAGAACCAGAGTATTCTACTCCGTAAAAGAAATGTGAGGCGCATTAATCATTAATTAAAAAAGTATTTTGTCGTAAAATGCTTTGTTGCTTTAAACAGGCCCATGGAGGTTTTCTGTTCATCGCGTAGGCTAATGGACGAAGCTTCGTCACTAACTTAAACAAGCGCAGCGAAGCGACAAGTGTGACTTAAACGTGTTCGACAAGAAAGTACTGTGGAATAAAAAATATTGGAAATGTTGCTTTGCACAGACGGAAGGATGTTTTACGTTAATCGCGTTGGCCTAGAGAGGCCGGAGCTTCGTCATGAAATTAGACACGCATGTGCAACGTCAGTTCGCCTTCAACCTTTGGGGTTGTAAATACGAGGGACTGCATTACCGTTCGCTGGAGTGAATTGTTAAGAGCGTTGAGTGTCAGCAAAAAATATCCGTACTGCTGACTGATTCCACCAAATATGTTTCTACTATTTTTTCTACTACTGTTTTTAATAAGGCGACTTTTTGATTTTTTAGATGACTGGTGTCCAGCACCTCCAGAAATACACGGGGGCTATATTAATATTTCTGGTCAAAGAGCAGGATCTACAGCCACCTACAACTGTCAGTCAGGCTTCATCTTGTTCGGAGAATCGGTATTTACAATTCTTTTCAATATAAAATACGTTTTTTTCCACTCATAAACTAACCAGAGCTAACTAGTGAAGTAACATTAATCAAAGCTACTAGGCATTTTTTTTTTGGCACCAAAGGTGATATCTTGCAGTCTTGGTGGTGAATGGTCAGGAAAAGCACCGGTTTGCAAATTTGTGGACTGCGGAGCACCTGCTCATATAGACAATGGGCAATATATTCTTCTTAATGAGACAACAACTTATGGCAGTTTAGTTGTATATTCTTGTCATGAAGACTATTGGCTCGATGGCACGGAGAAGCAAATGTGTTCCAGGGAAGGAAAGTGGTCCGCAAATACTCCTTCGTGCGTCTGTAAGTTAAGAAAACTGGTCTAATATTAATATAATGAAACACAATTAAACATTTTATAGCACAGCTTTTTTGTTTCAGTAATTACTTGTGATGAACCAGATGTACCCCCAGGCGGATATGTTGTAGGGTATGATTTCAATGTTCATTCCACTATAAATTACCATTGTGAAGCTGGTTATTTACTTCGAGGTGAACCAGCTCTTGAATGTACCGTTCATGGAGAATGGTCCGGGGAACCACCTACTTGTGAATGTAAATGGCAAATATTACTTGTGCATTTCATGATTATCAAGTCTAATATGTTTACTTATGATTGGAACATGTATTTTAGTTATAGACTGTGGAAAGCTCCCTCCTATGCCTTATGGTACAGTGACGTACATCAATGGAAGCACATTCTTAGGCAGTGAAGTGAAATACAGCTGCTCTCGAAACTACAAACTAAGCGGAGTTTCTTCAAGGAAATGTTCGGAGACAGGCCAGTGGAGTGATGAATCACCAAGATGCGAAGGTATACTAATGTAAACACAAACTATTGTTGTGAAAGCGAAGATATCCGCGGCCGGAGTCAGTATTTAATTGGCTGTTAAGGTGACGCCGCGTCCATTGCGAAGGTGCCGAAGGCATCCGAACATTAACAAATACAAAAAGAACAGAATCATGTAGTCCTCAATTCAAAAAACTTAGTATACTTCTACTGCCTTAGATATTCATTTTCAAAGGTCTCATGTTCATAAAGAAAAATCTAATAAACAATGACTCACTTACAAATTTAACTCAAGCTTACACTCTTACAACAGGTGGCAAGCATAGGTAACCTTCCTCATCTATTGTGCACTATACAAAAAGGGTAAGTTCTCTACAGAAATGCAATTCTTCAACAAATTGTTAATATACCTGAGAAATGTAACAGAATTTCACACCTTTAAAAATAATATTGAACACTTCCTTCGACAAAAACTCTTTAATAGTGTTCAGAACCTCACTATACTCACAGTACCTCACTAACTAATACGTGCAATCTGATTTCAGGTCCTGCAGTAGGACTAAATGTATAGAAATAGAAAAAACTTGTCAAAAACCTGCCTCCTACTCCTCACTATTTCAAGATTTAAACATAGAATGTACTAATATTGTTAAATTATATGGAGTTGTTACGATAATCGATATCATGTACTACTCTTATTGTTGTGGTTATTATTATTATTATTATTATTATTATTCCTCTTCATCACGACAACAGATGTTATGAGTCAGCTGAATATAAAATCTATCCCAAATTGCAATCAGCTACTTAAGGAGCAGATCTAGTAGCTGTCGGAGCCTCTACTATACTTTGCGCAAAATGTCGGCTGCTCCAAATAAAGCAATTTCTTGCACTTCCCAGACGTTTCAAAGACCTGGGAGTTTACAAGAGTGTGGGTGTAGCGTGGCCGCAACACCCACATGTTAAGTGTTGGATAGTTTCGCTTGTGGCTTCACATCTTGTACATGTCTCGGAATGGATGGTAGAATCTCTCAGAATGTGTTTTCTGTAGTTCAAAGTTGGCACCACTTGGTCCTGGATAGCTATCATGAAGGCTCCTATCTCCGGAAAGAGATCCCCATGCTGGAGCCATGCGAGCAATGCAGAGATGTCGACTTCTGTTTTACTCAGTTCATGGGGTTCTGTGTAGTGCCTTCGCTTTCCCTGAGGTTATCTTCTCTTTGGTTTTAGTGACTGACTGAACTGGCAGATCTGTGTTTTTCAAGTTCAGAGGACTATAGTTATTATCAACTGCGCTCACTGCATGCTGAACACTCACACAATGTTCCAGGAAGTATCTTCTGAGTGATGCAATTTGAGAGCTGAGTAGATTTATGAGATCGACAACACCTCGCTCTCCTTGTGATCTTGGAAGTGTGCAACGGTCAATACATGAATGGGGATGATGTTTTCGGTGTTGAGTCATAACTGTTCGAATTGTCCATTTAATAACGTCAAAGGAGTATGTCAGTACCGGAATAACAAATGAATTGATGGCATGCACAAGGTTGCTAACAAAGAGTTGAGTTTATGCCATAATTAGAAGCATTTAGTAGAGTAGACAATATTCAAGGTTAAGAACAGTAAAGGGCTTAAAGAGTCACCCTGGGAAATGTGCGATGCCATAATTAGAAGTATTTAGTAGAGTAGCAGGATTCAAGGCTAAGCAGAACAGTAAAGGGCTTAAAGAGTCATCCTCGGCGTATGTGTATAGTATATGTGTGGATGGATTGTTTTCCATTAGAGATATACAGTTTTGTGTTCAATCGACTCATCATTGTTTTCAGGAAGTTTTGAACAATCGGGTGGACATTGTGTACATCCAAATGTGGAGGAGTCAATGACACATGGATTGCTCCTTTCATCACTGAAATCCAGGTCTTCATCCTTTCTGTTCATCCGCTAAGATGTTATGTTTCTTAATGTGTGTCATCATCATTTGTGTAACACATGATGGTATGAGTTTGTAGAAATTTTGAAGGCAGGTTACACGACATCACGGGGACGTACATCGAGGGGTCTTTAGTGTCGCCCTCCTTTGGTACCAAGAACGTTCTACCCCAAGTGAGGAAGTAAGACATATATTTTAGATTGAGAAGAAAATATTGAATTATAGTAGCAATGACTAATTGTCCTCTTCCACATTATTATTATTATTATTATTATTATTATTATTATTATTATTATTATTATTATTATTATTATTGGGGGAAGATAAATTCGGAAGAAGATCGGCTGAACGGTTTACGTGCTTGCGTTGATCACAGACGGTCAGACGTTTTTTTGTCAAGCCAATTCCCGTGAACAATAACCCACAAAACATGGATTCTTTCTATACAACGTATTAGAGGGTGTAATTCACTATATTGTAACGCTGCCGTCGAATATTTAATTCTAAATTTAATAATCCTCACACTTGAGAAGCTTTTATTTATAACGTTAATCGCCGTCTGGCTGAGAATTTTGACGGGATATCCTGGCTCGGTTGAATGTAAGCAAGTGTTGTTAGAAACAAAAAAAGACATTCACTTCAATTATAGTTAAGATATACTTTAATCTACTGAATTTAAATTACAGAAAATGTCTACTTTCTGTGAGCTGAATTCCTAAAACTAACATATTATGACTAAATTGTTATAGTACATCTTTAAACAGTTAAAAGGCCAAATCGCGACCACACCAAATTATACAGAGATGGTTACAAATTATCCTGTTCACTCAGGATCATTCAAGAGCCTTATTTCTGTGTGTCCAGCCGTCTGTTGGTCGATCAGCTGGTTCCCACCGGGAAAGTGAGGGGCTACTAAAAGGGCTTGGCCCTCCCTCTCCAGACTCGTGGGCCGGGACGTCCTGACGGGCGCCGGCAATTCTCCGCAGGCTGAGGTACACAGCTGACTCTAAGGCACGTTTGCACGGATCGCCGTGGTCGTATTTCCAGTTTCTAATAATTTGCCCTTAACCGATGCAGCAGGTTTTCCAAGTTCACGGAACCTTATGATAACAGCATAATACGACGCACCTCACAAAGTTCCACAGGTGGGTGCGTACGCACAACTCGATCGCTTGGCTATCCTATTTCATTAAGTCCACTCTATCACGCATTAGTACGCGATCTCCCGTTCTGCGTTCCTCATTGCTCTCAACTATCCGCCACAACTTCGGTAAAACGCAACTAATTACCGTGTAAGAAAGCTTATCGTTAGGTCCGCGTTCACATCGAATCTTTCTATTTTCACAAGTTCGGTAAAGTAAAGAAAATACCGTGCAGGGATGCGGTCACTGACTCCGAGATCAGTTCGGTTATGTAGTCCAAAAACATCTCTCTAGTCGGTCTCCTCGTCAACTCTCTCTTTGATTCTACAATCCCTTGTTCTTCCCACCCTAGAAATGACGCACTGTGAGTGGCCGAAATTGATTGCGCAGTAATATTTCTCAACCCATCCCAGACTTCTCAAATGTTCTGAAACTAACAATCTCTTTCACTGATGATGGCTGATGCACGCGGCGAACTTGCAGCTGCAGGTCTCATTTTGTATCTTATATATTTATTCTATATTTATTGAAGTAATCTTGTATATTTATTTGAAATAATAATCGTTAGCTGTCGCAGCCGGTATTTCTCTCCGTCATAATCTCGTAAACTATCTATCCAGGAAGTTAGAGGGTGTCGAGAGGTCTACGCCGTCGGCCCATATACAAATGCAAAGAAAAGCAGGGCCCATGTGGCGCCGGCCGAGGTCCTCTCGAGCCCGGCAGCTGCACTCTTAGCTCACACAGCAACTTGCGTTAAGTTGCGTAATCTCGTAAGAAAGTAATATATTACTTGCATTTTATATGAGATGATTCATTTACAATAAATTTCAAAGGTGAAATAATCAGTAAAAGCTATAAAGATAGTTATTAACATTATAAAATGAAATACAATAAGAAAGTCACCATCTCTTCTTAATTTGATATTATTTCCAAATCTATACGAAAAAGCTTATTAGAATATTATTACAAAGATATTCTAAAATTATTTTTGAGGTTTATGATGTTTATGAAAATATATTTAGATTTATTTAATCAAAATCCAGTAAAAACTATATGTGACGTATGGAGGAAAACATTGCGCACGTTTTCTTGAGTTCCAGAATCCTTTCCCATCATTTTAACTATAACATTTTAAATAACATTTTCATTTCAACTATCAATAGTTGAAAGATGAGTAAGAGTTTTTTAAAGAAAACAAACAAAATAAATGAATATAAAATTTAAAAAAGCGTGAGATAAGCAACATTTGAGAAACCAGACATTTTCGTCCCCTAGTTATAGAATACTTATTTGCAATGGTAAACGAACAACAGATTTCATTTATCTGCATTGCTAACAAAATTGTAACTCACCGTCAGCTCTACTCCTACCACTATAAGGAAAAGGCGCGTTCAACAAAATGTGCTCAAAATGAAGCCACATATATGTCCAGAAGCAAAACAAGGGACCGTCTCAGCATTTGCTCAATGTATCACGGAAACTGGACAAAAATCAGATCGAGATGGGGATCATTGACTCGTAAGCTGAAGTACATTAGTTTTATGACCATATTAAGTGTTTTAAAGAAAATATACTATACAAATGTTAACTAATTCATTATACATCATTCATATACATCAACATATACATCATTATACATCATGTATTACATTTCTGTAATATTAAAGTAGTAAATAAATGTACATTTCTGTAAATTTCAAGGATTATTTTTATTTTGTTCTAAAATCAAAAATGTGTTTTTGGCAATCAATATTGGAATTCTGTGCACTACTGGTCTAATCCTTTTTATGATGTGTGAAGCATTAGAATTTAATTCATTTTACCCTTTTCATTTCAGCTTATGACAGTTTTTCTTGTATGGCAAAGAATACTACTTTTCAGAGAAAGTAGTGATTAAAACAATATTAATGTAAAGGAAAAATTTGAAAAACTGGAGCATTTCAATTTTGAAGTACAATATCTCAGATTCTAATGAAGGAGGGTTATATCATTGTTGCACTCGACTTTTTACTTACGTATATATTTTTAATAAGTACTTATTTCTTATGTGTACAGGTTTATTTACATCTATGCAGATTGTTATGGACATTTGTACTGATCACTATCTTTCAAACTCCTTTCAGAAATCCGCTGTCCTGAACCTGTGCTTGCTGAACACAGCATCCTATCAGTAACTGGTAACGACAGAGTATATGGTAGAACCCTTATAAAAACTGCTGTGTCTGCAGTGTCAGTAGCCACTTACAAGATTGGATCTCTTGTTAAATACCGTTGTGAAAGAGGCTATAAAGTTGTTGGTGATCCATTAAGCACTTGTGAAGAAACAGGCCAATGGAGTGGTGATGTTCCTCAATGTGTATGTGAGTATGTACATACAGCCTACCAGCCATTACAGTATTGGGAGTGAATCATAACCGGAGTCATTTCATATCTCAATTTGAAAAGTTTCAATTAATTGAGGTTTTCCTTATATTAACTACATTACTGGCCATGTCAAATAATGTTAAAGAGAGTACATTTTTGTTGAATACAAATGATAAGTTTTATGATGGTTTTTATTTTTATTTAAAACTTGGAATCAGAATTCTCATTTCATAAATAATAAAAGTTAAATTAAAGTTAGTAATGCTTTCCTTTATATATTGCAATCTAGCATCATTTCTTATAATTTTGAAGATAAATATTAATTGAGATTAATATTTATTGAGATTAATTATTGTTAATTATTAATATTAATTGAGATTAATTATTATTAATTATTAATATTAATTGAGATTAATTATTGTTAATTATTAATATTAATTGAGATTGCTAGTTGATATGGATAGAAATATGAACAATCTGCTTAGTCTGTTTAATCAATTCTTTTCAGGAATTACTGTGGATCTCATTTTTATTTATTTATTTCATGTCCAAAACTGTTAAAAAGTGTATGATGAACTATGTGGAGAAGTGATTTCTGCTCATGTTGTCTTAAATTATGGGACCCCTGCCCTTTATTTTTTATTTGTTGCATCTGATACTGACACAACGCATCTCCAAACCCCTAACCTATAGGTTAGGAGTTTCTAGCTAGTTGAATTATGAACACATGTAGAAACAAATAAGAATTGATAAGAATATATATTTCCTCCCATGTTAAAACTAATTGGAAAGGCAAATCAGCTGCAGATTGTGACTATTTTCCCTCATTGTGTTTATTATCCCTCATTATGACTATCATTCCTCTCAAAACATTTTTTTGTTAGTTCAGAACTTCCCGAAATTAGGGTTTCAAAAATAGGGGTGGTAAAGCTAGCACTCTCTCTCTCTCTCAAAATTTAAAAAAAAAAAAAATTGTACAGTCGAAATAGGTGAATTTTGGGCTCCTTTGAGCCACTTTCAAAATGTTGAAACTCACCCCTAACATCAAGACCTAAATATTTAAACCAATACAATTTCTCAAAATCCAAAAAATTCTTGTGCCATAACTTCTGGTTCTTTAGTGACACTGAAAACATTTTTTTAGCTGCCTTATAACACACCGAAATCAACTATACAAAAATGGGGATGAGGAAGCTAGCATTCCACTTACTGAAAACTTGGAAATCTGAAAAAAATATCATCACACATCCTCTGGGGTAAATTATTTCATACATGTGTATTTCCAACAGTAAAAATTTAAAAAAACATGTATTTGTTTCAAGTTTACCATTATACATTTTACACTACATTGCAGATCAATATAAACACTTACAATAATTATTTTAATTCATTCCTATGCAAAATTTTCAAATATGAACTTACATTAAGAAAGTCAGATTTTCATAAAGGAAAATTTCCCTCCAAAAAAGATGAGAAAAATAGAAAAAAGATAAAGTAGTTATTGATGCATTCTTTGGCAATCTCAATATCACAATATAAAAAAAATAAAAATAAGAAAGTATAGAAAAACCGAAAATGGAATCAGAATAATGGCAATGTCTTACCGGAATGTAGTAATACATCCATAAGTATAAAATCCAAACTAAATGGCATTTGTTTCAAACAACTCTTTACATTTTAAAACATGTACAGCAGATTACAATAGTTTCTCAAAGAAAGTTCTTGACTCAATTTCATCCATTAGAAGTAATTGCAAAATCTCACCTAAAAACACATTAGAATTATTGTATACTTAAATATTCGTCTCCATATGACTCCAAGATACAGGACGAATGTGTACAATACTTCAAATGTTAATTAAATACAACATAGCACATAAAATGGAACTTGAAATGCAGAAAAATAATTTTGTGGCTCTTCACATTCTTTCCAAAAAATTGAAAATCCTCAAATCCAATATTAGAATTTTTCTCACCTTTTCATTCATCTGAAAATAAACTCTAACATTCTGAAAACAAATTTACAAATAATTGTACACATATTACCAAATATGATGTGACTGAAACAATTTTGGGCTTGTCATGTTTTTCTTGAAAAAAGGGTAAAACTAATCAAAACGCCCAAATGTCTTCAATCTTCAATACGTTCGTAATTATAAAATTTAAACTATCTGACTTTCTCGACCAACAAACCAATATTACATTATACTCATGCAAAGGAATGCAACAAAGTCCAAGAGTAATTTTGGGCATCTCTCCATTCTTTCCAAATAATGGAAACTTCACGTGCAAACTATATTAGAATTTTTTGGACTACTTTTCATTCCTCAGTAAATAAATTCAAAAATACTGAAGAAATGGAAATAAAGAATTTACTGGAAATTGTACACATACTGATAAAAGTGCAAATATTGACAAATAGGATGTGGCTGTTAAATAATTTTGGGCTTATCTTGTTTTTCTGTATTTTCTAAATTCAAACTAATTGACTTTTCCTTCCAGAAATTTTATATTTTATCAAACATATATGCAGAACATCAAACACATATACATATAGAGATTTATGTCAATGCATAAAAATGATTTAGGGCTGCTTTCCATTATTTTCAAAAAATGTAATATACTCAGCTCAACAAATTTTGATTTACAGTATTCTGTCACATTTTTCTCCCAGTTAACTTTAAGATACTGTTTAAATGTATTTAAGGATTTAATTGTTCATTAAATAAATCTTGGCAAATAGGTTGTGACAGGAATAGGTTGTGAAATAATGGTGGACTTATATGGTTCTTTCTGAAAATTGGAGAATTCTTATTGGACTTTTGAGGACATATTCGATGGATAAGCTGAGACCTTACACGGCACCCGAATGTGTAATGGTTGTTGTAGAGTCATGGCTAAGATGCCTTGCTTTGTAATTCTTTCAAATTACTTATTAAAGCCTTTACATTATTTCATTCAGTATCACCAATTTCTCGTAATTCACCACTGCTATTCTCTACAAAGACCCCTGCCAAATTGTCAATGACCTTTAATGTCTCCATAATTATAAAATACAAGCTACTTGACTTTCAGTTCACGGAAATTAATATATTATGAAAAACATAAAGAGCTTTACAACAATGCCTAAAATTAATTTTGAGCTTCTTTCCATCCTTTCCTAAAAATGGAAAATACTGAGCTTAACAAATTTAGAACTGGTTAGTTTTCCCTTGACCTCTTGAGTTATAAAGGAATGAATGTGGTTCTTGAGTTTAGGTTGTGGTAGAAAAAAAAAGGTTAGATTATTTTTTCTTTTGGTTGCCAATGTTTCAGCCCTTTATTGAGCCTGCATCAAGGCTTTCACTTTATTCTGTTTGCCTAAAACATGTTTTGGTCCTTCATCAGGGCTTCCTGTATGCCTAAAACATATTTTAGGGAAAAATAATAAAGTGGAAGCTCTGAATATGTTTAAGGCAAACAGAATAATGTGAAAGCCCAACAAAAGCCAAAACAACCAAAAATAAAAAAAGAGGGGGAAGGGAATGTAGAATTATTTTTTTCTTCTTCCAAGACCTAATCTCAAGAACCACATCCTTTCCTAAATTGAGAATTATGGTATTTTTTCACATCTAATTACAATATGACTGGAATAATTACTCTAATTCTACACACAGCCTGTGAAAGGATGAGTTGTATCAAACTAAAGAATCAATAGCAAACTCTCATCATGGCCATACAGAAAACAGATCTATTTTGCAGCCTTTCCAAGTAGCAGCTCAATAATTGTAGATTTGAACTTTTTAAATTTGTCAAATAATCCTTATAAAAATGTTTACAAGGATAATGCCAAACAGAACGTAGAGGGAAAATTTCCATTGCAAAACCATTTTTAAGGAGAAGGAGGCAAGTTTGAACAGAGAAGAAGCAGAGTAATGTAAAAAAATATTCATTTTTATTTAAAATAACAACAATGAAAAAGAAGTGAAAAACGGAATAATGAGATGTGGAAGGGGAAATGAAACAATGAACACATAAGTACTTCACTCAAAAACTAGTGGTGCTAAAAAAGCTCTTTCTCGCCATTAGTAATGGTCATGTAATACTACTAATTTATACCACATTTTCTCTCAGAATTAATGCATCTCAGTCATAATTTTTCATAAACCTCATTTGAAATTGTAGAACGTTTAGTGTAGAAAATAAGCAGTATGCAATAAAGTAAAATAATTAAAAGTTAATATATAATACAATACTGACAGCATTGGCAAACCAATTGGCAAACATTACACTAAAAAAATAGTGTGTTGTTGTTTTTTATTTTGCTTTTAAGTTGCTTTTTAATTGCAAGGTCGTTAGTGACTTCTTGCCTGTATATAGTATATTATATATTTTACATTATACAGTAAATATTACATAAATATTAAGATATGAAAGTACATATTTCAATTATAGTAATGTCTTCTTAATGGTTTTATAACACTTTATGGTTTTAATGCAGTGTTTGAAAGGTGTCTTCATATCAATTTGTAAACATTTGTTTTAATGTTCTTCTGAAAATAGATAGGTGTGAGAAACATTGGTGTGCCATATTCTTAACCTTGTTATTTTTATCTGGTCTCTGCAGGCTTCTAAAATAGTGGATTTTGTCTCAAATATGGAAGTTTCAACTTCATGTAATTTTGTAATGGTATTTTTGCAAAAATTGTCCCAGTGTTATAAAATTTCAAGTTTGGTATGTTTCTTATATTTTAATTTTGTCTTTTGTTGAAAGTACCGCGATTGATGAAAATTCTGTGGTTGTTCTTTTGCCTCTATGTCCACCTTTTCATTGCCTTTGATCCCTGTATGGCTTGGCATCCAAACAATCTCAATTTTAAAATTATTTTTCATTTTCTGGATTCATGTTTCTATAATTTTCACAATAATTGAATTAGAATTATTTTTGTTCAACATGGCCATAAAAAATGATTTGGAGTCTCATTTGTCATTGTCTT